GGACTACAGCCGGACCCGGTGTCTGTTAAACACCAAGTGTGCTGGGCTGCTCTGCACACTCTCCCATTTCATGCCCAAAGTGACCGCACAGACGAGGTGATGTCTCATCCTAGTCAAGGAAATGGAGGCGAGAGCTGAGCCATCATTATGTGGCTGTGAGGGGGCAGAGCTGCAGCCAGCTGTGGATGTGGCCCAAGTCTCCACCATGGTGACAGTGACAGCTCTGACTCCATCTGGATTCCATCAGAGGCTGATACTCACTCACTAATTAAATCAGTGCACACAGCCCAGCTGGCTGTCTCACCTCTGCTCCATGACATGGCTGTTGCTTTGCAGAGCATTTGGTTTAACCAGACACGCAGAAGAGTTAATGAGTGAGCGGCTGCCACTGGGAACACACAGGCCTGCAACTGTGCCGGCTACTGAGTAACCTGAGGTGGGGGGTAAAGATTAATCCCCTCACACGGAGGCCTAGACAGAGGAGGGAAAAAACAAAGTCACTACTGATAGTAAACCTCAGACAGGCTCAGACTGCTCCGTCCCTAACTGCCCTCGCCTTCGACCAACTAGCCTCAGATGGCGTTTGCTTCCCAAGCGATTGCCTGAAATGTGTGGTAAAAGAAAAGATTGCTTTGCATTGGTCAGAAGGATCCAGATGAATAATATCCAGATTTATTAAACCTGTCTCATTCAGATAAAGCAGTTGAACCAACAGCATTTGGTCCCCTCTCTTTGGCTGGGTCTCAGAAGGAAATAAACCACTTAAAGATAACTGTGCCCTCTTCTGATCAAAAGTCCTATGGAAAGAACGCAGTGATTTGCTGGTTCTGCCCTGAAGGATGGGGACAGGAGGAGGGTTGCAGGGAAAGATACAGAGGGAGATATACCACCCTAGTCTGGCCACATCCATGGGGGAGAAATTCCACCCTGGAGCCGGGCATACCCACCCCACCTGACTCAGCATACTGGGAGACCCAATCCTCTGGTAGACTCACCCCAAGAAAGACAGAGACACTCCTAGTGAGAAGCCACCCATACCACACCCCTCTAAGCTGCATCCATCCCAAGAGGAGGTCCCCCAGACTCATGAGAATCACCCTCCTGGACAAGGACTGGGTCGGGGATAGCAGGGTGTTGTGGGGCCAAAGCAGGATGACTGGGACCATTTGTATCTTTTGTGGGGGAGGGGGCATCTATGGGTTTCTTTTCTTTTCTTTTTTTTTAAAGATGACCGGTAAGGGGATCTTAACCCTTGGCTTGGTGTTGTCAGCACCATGCTCAGCCAGTGAGCGAACCAGCCATCCCTATATAGGATCCGAACCCACAGCCTTGGTGTTATCAGCACCACACTCTCCCGAGTGAGCCACGGGCTGGCCCTCCCATGGGTTTATTTTCTTAAGTGTCTCAGAATTGTGACAGAGGCATGACTCAGTGAACCATGTGGAGGGGCTGGAAAGAACGGGAACAGGCCCCACACAGTTGAAGTGGCCACAGCTATTCTGCAACAGCTGGTGAACCAAGCTCTCCAGCTCCTCTCTCATGACCGGCTGCCAGATCTAGTTCCAGCTTGTCTGTTGCTTCTGCTTTTGCAATAAACACAGGAGTCCTAAGCTACAACACAAGGATGCTCGGGGCAGCAGAAAATTGGAAATTTCCTACATAACCACCACAAGGGGGTGGTTGAGTGAATTATCGTACCTGCATAGCATGGAACATCATGACCATTAAAAAGATTAGGTGGGGGCCGGCCCAGTGGCGCACTGGGTAGAGGGCGGCGCTCCTTCCGAGGGTTCGGATCCCATATAGAGACTGGTCTGCTCACTGGTTGAGCGCGGTGCGGGTGCGACACTGAGGGTTGCGATCCCGTTACCGGTCACGAAAAAAAAGACAAAAAGGTTAAAAAAAAAAAAAAAAGATTAGGTGGTCTTATATAGAGATATGGAAGGATGATACATTTGTAAGTGAAAAAAGAACTATACTCGTATATGTTCACACACACAGATGCTCCTTGCTCTGAGTTAAATGGGTCCCCCAAAGTTTCATGTATTAGAAACTTAATCCCTACTGTGACAGTGGTAAGAGGGTGGGAAATACTATTACAGTAATTGAAAGGTGGGGCCTTGAGGAGGTGATTAGATCGTGAGGACTGTGTCCTCGTGAATGGACGGATCCATTCATGGAGTGACGGGCGTGGTTCTGAGGACTTAGCTCTCTCTGCTCAGCCATCTTGCCATGTGACACCCTGCATCACTGTAGAGTCACCACCAAGAACAAGAAGGCCCTCACCAGATGTGTTCCTTGGACTGTGGACTTCCCAGCCTCCAAAACTGTAAGAAATAAATTCCATTTCTTTATCAATTACCCAGTTTCAGGTATTCCGTCATAAGCAACAGAAAAAAACTAATACACTCCTTGACTTATGATGGGGTTACGTCCCCATAAACCCCTGGTAAGTTGAAAATATGTAAGTCGAAATGCATTCGGTACACCTAACCTACAGAGCATCAGAGCTTAGCCGTGCGTTTAAAACGTGCTCAGAACACTTACACTAGCCTACAGTTGGGCAAAATCATCTAACACAAAGCCTATTTTATAATAAAGTGTTCTTCTGTCACTCTGGAATAGGCTTTGTGGAGAGGGCCATCCTCTTCTTTTCTTTGGACTCTGCTGGTGACTCTTCTTGTGTCAATGCACTCCAATGGCTGGCAGACCATCTGCATGGTGGTTGTGGCATCCAGCTGCTTTCATGGCAGCCGTGGTTACTGTGGTGGCTGTGGTGGGTCACCAACATGGAGGTGATGCTTTTAGCATGCTGCTTGGTGCTGGTGTTGTGCCTGGTTGTGGAGGGTGTCTGGTCCCTGGCTGAATGCCCCAGGTCCCTGGGCAGGGCCCTGAGGTGACTTTGTCCATTTTTTTAGGGATTTATTTTTTTTAGCAGTTTAGGTTCACAGCAGCATTAAGAGGAAGGTAGAGAGATATCCCTGTCCCTTATACCCCCCCAACCTCCCCCATTTTCAAAATCCCCAACCAAAGTGGTACACTTGTTATGATTGATGAGCCTGCATTGATAGGTCATCACCAAAAGCCTGTAGTTCACGTTAGGGTTCACTCTTGGTGTTGAATTCTACGGATCTGGACAAATGTATACTGACCTGTATCCACCATTATAGTATCACACGGAGTCGTTCCACTGCCCTAAACATCCTCTGTGGTCTACATCTTCATCCCTCCCTCCCCACTAACCCCTGGCAACCACTGATCTTTTTACTCCATAGTTTTGTCTTTTCCAAAATGTCACATAGTTGAAATCATACACTTTGTAGCCTTTTCAAAATGGCTTCTTTCGCTTAGTAATATGTATTTAAATTCCCTCCATGTCTTTTCATGGCTCAATAGATCATTTCTTAGCATTGAATAATATTCCACTGTCTGGTGGACCACAGTTTATTTATCTATTCACCTACTGAAGGACGTCTTAGTTGCTTCTGAGTTTTGGCAATTATGAATAAAGCTGCTGTAAACATCCATCCATATGCACGTTTTTGTGTGGACATAAGTTTTCAGTTCCTTTGGATAAATACCAGAGTGTGAGTGCTGGATCACATGGTTAAGAGTAGGTTAAGTTTGGTAAGAAACTTCCAAACTGGCTCTCTCCCAACGTGGCTGTACCCTTCACACTCCCACC